TCGTCGTCTCCCAGCCCTCGTCGCTGCCGTGGACCTGGCCCAAGTTTTGAGCTTTGATTGAGCCCACTCACACACACACTAAGTTCCTTCCGGCCGCGCTCGCACGGCTGGTTGGTACGTCGGTGATAAAGCACAGCAGGCCAGTCAAGAATAGATCTCTGGGCTCGGTCGTCACAGCTCTCGCATCAATCGCACCCAAGAGAACCCAAGAAGCTTCCGATGAGCGGGAGGCACTGCCGGTATAGCTGTCAAAGAAGGAGGACTTGAGATGCTCTGCATGCCCTCATCCAAGTCGGAATGGAAGCAGATTGAAGCCGGATATGATGGGAACACATAGCCTTAGCCTATCGGTAGAATGTTGCCGGCAGTCATTTCCCCAACGCCAGTAGCCAAATCAGGTAAGAGAATTGCGAAATTAGGATTCAAAAGATTCGAAACCTCCTCGCGAAGAAGGGAGAATCAACGGGGCCTATGAGGGAAAAAATGTATACTTGTGCTGTATTACTAGCATGAAAAGTCGGAGACATACGTAGATGAGTGGGTACAGAAAGAGCAAGCATGATAAGGGGCTGGTCGTGGATAGATAGGTATCTGGCCGAATCGGGTCGTGAGTAACAACAATGGGGAGATATGCGACGTCCGCAGTCCCCTCAACCGCACCTGCACCCGCACAGCATCCACATCCATATCTGTCCGTGCCCAATGTCTTATCCCCGTTCGAAGCCATCTCGCGTTTCAGTCTTGATCCTCCGCTGAAAAGACGGGTGACAGTGGGAGACGCGAGGAGACCACGGGCTGACCGGCACGCGTGAGCGAAGGCGCAGAGCCTACGCCTGCGTACGTCTTCCTGAGCCGCCGACTCCTCCCGAAGATATCTAGGCTCGAGTTCCCCGCAGCAGGACAGGGTAGGGTGCGCGCGAGGGAGAGCGCTGGGCAGCGCGATGGCAGAGCGGGGGGACGGGACGGAACCGTGCGCATCCATACCGCAGTGCTCGCGGCGGGAGTGGGTGTCACGCCGAATGCACGCACCATCCTCGCGTCCATCTTTACCCTTTCCTCCCTGGTCTCACCCCTGGTAACAGGAGGAGCGCAACGCTGCGCAGGCACCGTGCGGATCCGCCACGCATCGCGCGCCCAAGCAGAGCCTGTGTGGCGGGCATCCAAGGACACGATGGCGCCGCCTTCGAGCAAAAGGGAGCAGGTGTGCCGGAGGATGTGGAGCCACAACAGAGGGATGTCAATTCTCTCGTATGGATGCCCGCCACCCCACACGCTCAGATGGACACGGGGCCGCGGCTCCAGTTCTCTCCACAGACCAGTCGAGGTTGCAGCCCGCGGGTACGAGGCCTTCTCATCGCAGGCGAAGGGCAGGTAGAGTTGAGCATGCGGTGTATCGATGATTCACCGAATGCCTTGCTAAACGAAAGAGTCGGCGCTTGGAGTGATGTGTAGGCGGGTGCGAGAGACGGCTGAAATCTGAAAAGAGTAGCGGTGATCACAGCGCGGTTGGGATAAGATGGGATGGGGTGCGCACCTGAGCCTTGGGGAGACAGATGCTGCAGAACGGAGACTCGACCACTCCGCGGGCGTGATGGGAGAGAGAAGCGGGTGGTGGCGCCGTGTATCTGAAAACACCGAAAGCGTGGAGCGTCCGCGCGAGTGAGCAGGGGTAAACAGACACACCGGAAAAGCGCTACACTACGCGCATGCGGACCGTATACGCCCGACGCATCCGTTCCGATAAGAGATCGGTGATAGCAGCGGCAGCGGAGGCGGTGTGGGGTACCGCGCATTGAGGAAAAGTGTGGTCGGCGGAGGTGCATCGCAATGTACCTCGGGCGCGAGCTGCACAATGGAAGCTGCAGGCCCGATGGGAAGCACACAGGATTGACGCGTCCACGTCATTCTTGGCGTTGTCGTATCGCGAGCCGCAATCCCTGAAATGGGGTATCCTTCGGCGAGCACGCTGACAGACCATGGACAAGTGCTCTGCGGTACACGGGCGGGGAGTGACTGAGCGTAGCGTCCGCGCTCTGGGAGCCTCGTTCTCTGTGGGAAGCAAGGGACGAGAAGGGGTGGCTCTGAAGTTTGTAGCTGCCGCGGCGGTTAACCAGAGGGAAAGACGAGAAAGTAAGCTGTAGCGAAAAGTGATTCAATGGTAGAATACGCGGAGTAGGGAAGAGGGCTATCGTCAAAGACATGCGACTCCACAGGCAAACTCTCCACGGCGCAAAACGCCCCGATTCCTCCCTGCTCTTCACGTACATCAGCCTTTCGGCATTTTACTTGTCACTTGAATGCACTTTTCCTCTTGAATCCAAAAAATCTGAAAAAGTTTAGCTTGTTAAAATGGATAAAAATGAGCCAGCACCCCGCAGGAAAAAGTTTTTTTTCACTTGTGAAAAAATCGGACCTGGCTTGATCACTTGTCACTTGCGGTCTTTTTAGGCCGAAACAAGCCAGATCAAGTGAAATCAAGTGCGATCAAGTTTTTGGCACAAAGTCTGATGTATTAGAGTGTTGCCATAGATCATTTTGAACCTCGTCGATGATGTTGAGGGCCGGTGAATAGTCGACGCATGGATGTTGTGAAGAGCGGCTGTCGTTCTCCGGGCACTGCGAGCGTGCCCATCGTCGTCTCGTCGGTGTCAGTGTGAGTGAAGTAAAAGGAACCGACAACTTCGGACAAGGCGTGTTGGCGAATTGGATCGATGGATGACGTCACTGGTCGGGTCGCGGCCTCATGGCTGTTCCCCTTGGATTCGACGTTACTCCCTTTGGACTCGACTCGTAAATTCACAAAACTGAGGGCATCGGATCGCGCTGTATCGATTGACTCGTCTTCTCTCTTGCCTTCTCCCTCCCCTCCCCTCGTCGTAACGTTGTACAGCAATAACCAAGCAATAACACCTCACCCGCCCGGATCTCGAGCTGTAATCTCTGACTTGTACGATATACGTGAACAGCTGTAATTAATATTGTGAGCCTTATCGAACGAAATGCTTTCTTCAACTTCATCCATGCCCTTCTGTGAACTGGTCGCTCGAACGAAGAGACTTGCACAATTCCTCCTGCCACATATCCCTGCCACTGTTCGTGTTCGTTTCTCCCGGGCCCGCTCTGTCTGTCTCTCGGCTTCGTAAACAGCTCGGTACCTGCGAATGCATATCACGTCTCTTCTCTAAAATCCGTGATACTCGATTCATGATCCATCACGGCGCCCGCTCTTCTTCCGCGTCTCTTATAGAAATAAAAATCCTTGATCTCTTCCATGATCCGCCGCGCCGCGGAAGGTGAGGGCATACGAATCTATTATAGTTCCGCGTCGCGGGCTTTCTGGGTGTCGTAATTACTGTAAACCCTCCGATATTATAGTTACAGGATCTCACGTCCATCCGTGGAGCAAAAAACTCCGTCCTTAACAACCCTCGGCCTCCGTCGCCAGCGTAGTTTAAAATTCAATAAAGACACTCTTCATGGCGAATCCAAGTCACTCACACAAACCCAACACTCCTTAAAGTGTTCAACCACTCGATCACACATGTTGTGCACCTGCGCCGGTTAAATCGGTACCTTCATCTGTTAAGCAGCAGTCCCCGTTCGATTCGGGGGTCGGGTGATTTGGTTCCATGATCACAGCTTTTTATTTGTTCATTCCTTACATAAATTATTGTCAATATTAATGACAATAATGACAAGATCTTCTTGGTCATAAATTTTCCAAGTACACTACCATGTTCGATTCCGAGAATTACTATCAACTCAAACCTCGACTTCGACCACTGGCATTAATTTGGCTCGCATGCATTCAACCACAGCTTGAAGGTATCCGACCACCTGATAGCACCTGGTGTGCACCTGCGACTCTTGGAATACTGTCATATAATGTGGCAGGTGGTCCCCGTTCGACTCGGGGTCGGGTGATAATACCGCATGATTTTATTTTGTTTTGTTTTCCCCTCGCTTTTTTTCTAACGACCCGCTGTAGAAGTAAGGTTGTGTCCTGAGGTGGACAGAGGAGGTGCTGGTCGTGCTGGGTAAATGAATGCAAGCGTGCTGTAGGAGGCCGATAGCCAGTAGGGATGAATCTGGAGTAAGAGCAGAATAGAATATAGGGTCAGGATATCAAAAACTCAGCTCTGAGGAATCGTAAGGGCTCAGAATCTCGCAGGGAAAGACATAGAAAACTCGATGGTGGTGGTCGGAAGCAAGAGGCGAACCCCTGTACTGTACATGACAACGGTAACGAGTGTAAATACGATCGGTCCAAAAATCGGCAAAGGGTCCATGGTATATATGCCTCTGCTAGAGCGAAGCCCTCGCCTTCAGACCAACCAGGAGCTACGCAAAGACGCAATAGGGAGAGCACGTTGCGCCGCTCAACGGTGACTCGTGGGTGCCCAGACCACAGTCGGCTCAATCCCCGGCGTAGTCCGAGAAGGCCGAAGACTCGAGTCTTCACTCGTTGTGTTGGCGTACGTAGGTGAAAAAAAGAAATGTCTGTAAAGAGTCAATAGGTAAGTAAATAAATGAGTGTGAGCATGTAAATGTGGAGTGAGAAACATATCAATCAAGGACCAATATTTATTGCCCTGGTTGGAAACTCGATGCAGAAGCGATGGAAGGAATATGAAGGTGCGTATGTAGCGCTCGAGGAAATCGGGGATGTTGGAGAAGCTGATATGTGATACTCACTTCGATTTGGTGGTTGAGACGGACAGTGCGCACGGAATAAAACTCAACGCGGCCAGGTGATCAAGATTGCTGAAGTCACAGAATGTCTGGAGGGACCTATGGCGACGTGGGAGCCATATGGCACTTCCACACCGCAACTCTCCGTCTCCACAAATTCTTATGTAGCTTGGCTCAAAGTGAAGGGTTTAACCTTGACTCAACTCTTTTGACAAAAAATTGAGATGAATCGTTGATATCAACACCAAATACGCCTTCACTTTCGTTCCCATAAATTCAACATCTGAACAGGCTCCAGGGTACTCAACCACCCGATAGCACATGGTGTGCACCTGCGTAGTTTAGTTGTGTACCCGAAAATAAGGCAGGAGGTCCCCCGTTCGATTCGGGGTTGGGTGATACACGCAGGAAGTTGCATTCTTTTTTTCTAAAAAAAGCCTTTGGTGTAAAAGCTCGGTAATCTTGTCTCACGGGCCGTGAATAGCTTTGAACAATGTGTAATTGCAAAGCGTGCACGTAGTGTAAGAGTAAGAGTAAAACTAAATAATCGTAAATATGTCAAAGTATTTATACTGACAAGGTTCGCAAGGCGAACCTAACACCGCCTACTATGCTTGGCCCCGGAGTCATTGGGACACAACCCTAACACTTGGCCTCTGCTCTCCATTTCCACGAAATTCCTTTGTGAACTAAATCCTCTGGGTTCAACACCAGAACTCCCAAGTCCAACCTAGGCTCAACCCCTCTAAAACACTGATAAATCATCGATGCCGCCAAATACACCTTCACTTTGGTCCAGGTTCGCATAACTTGAACCCCAGGTTGGAGGTGTTCGACCGCCCGGTTGCACATGGTATGCACCTGCCAACCTTAGCTGGGTCTGAGCTTTCATATAAGGCAGGAGTCCCCCGTTCGACTCGGGGTTGGGTGCTAGACCAATAATATTAGCGGGTCTTTTTTTGCTTCCGTCTTTATATATCCCCGCTCTCTCTATAATCCCCGACTGCAAAAATCCAAATCAACTGTATCTCAGTCGACTAACACTTCGACAACTGGCTGCTACCTCCCTGATTTCACTCACATAAACTCAACTCCTAACGAGGGTACTCGACCACCCGGTAGCACATGGTGTGCATCTGCGCTGTTTGTATCTTGAAACAGTCACCTCAGGCAGGAAGCCCCTGTTCGATTCGGGGTCAGGTGGTCAGTATGCACCCCCAACTTTTTTTGGTTCCTCCATGCGTTCCTCCTGTCTCTTGGCTCTTTTCGCACTCTCCCAGAGATAATTGGAGCCTCACATTGACAGGTTTAATTTCAAATGATCTCTCAATTACATTAAATTTACAAGTTCAACTACTAGTAAACTCAGCAGGTTTCCTCCCATGGATTCAGCCTAGTAGATAGGAACTCAACCACTCGATAGCACGTGATGTGCGCCTGCGCAGGTTAAATGATCTCCTCTCCCATTAAGCAGGAGGTCCCCGTTCGACTCGGGGTCAGGTGCTGCTTGGGTGGCCTCGTAAAAGTTTTTTCTCCCGTGTTTCCTTTTTGCTTCGTCGCCCGTTCCTAGGAAAAATCAAACCGAGGCATTCAACTGCTGTGTAATTATAATTTCTACCTACCGACGAATAGACAAACTCAAATATCGAGTTGAACCCCGTTAGAATAAATTATCCAGCCCATTTGCAACCTGCCCTCTAAATCTGTTTAGGCACAGTATAAATTCAACCACCTGACAAAGCAACCAACCATCCGATGGCACTGGCGGGCACCTGCGCAGTTTAAATGTGAACCCGAAACTAAGGCAGGAGTCCTGTTCGATCCGGGGTCGGGTGACACCTGGAAGAATTCTTGTTTTTTTTTTCTGCGTTCCGCAACGATAATTAACTCCAACGATAATCAACTCCGATGCTTCAAGTTTACACAGGTCAGCTCAGAAACCCCACTGAGTATCACCCTCAGGCTCTCAAAAATCATAGCTTGTGTTTTAAATTTGTATCGCCCCTCCAACCTAATTTCGTTCACATGCATTCAACCACAGCTTGAGGGGATTCGACCACCCGATAGCACACGGCGTGCGCCTGCACCATATAGATATGTTGGGACTGATAAGAAGGAGTCCCCCCGTTCGACTCGGAGGTCGGGTACTATTGGCGGGAGTTAACAATATTTTTTTTGGCCTTCATAGAACTTTTTGCTTTCTTACATTATATATCCCTGTTGTCTGTGCACGGTGTGTGATAGTACCCCATTTCTACCGCAAAATCAGTCTTTAAATTATCACAGTTAACTAAGCTTTCAGCCATCCGCTGCATACCTAATTTGGCCGCCATGAATTCGACCACGGCTTGGAGGTGTCAACCACCCGATGGCACATGGTGTGCGCCTGCGTACCTTGCGTTGAGAGGAATTAAGGCAATACATACAGTGCAGGAGTCCCCCGTTCAATCCGGGGTCGGGTGATGAGTAGCTGCCAATGCCTTTTTTTCTTCCCTTTCACTCCTTCTCTTTCCGAATCCCATGCACGCATATGGTCTCATCGCGAAGGCAGGAAATTTCATCATGCAGCTCAACAGCCCTTCATTTTTTCAATTATTCTCTATGTAATGCTCCCTGACTGCAAGAATCAATATAAACTCAAACCTCGACTAAGACTTCGACCATCCATTATTGTACCTAATTGGGCTCGCATGCATTCAACCACCTAACAGAGTATTCAACCACCCGTTGCACATGGTGCACACCTGCGCTGTTTGGGTCTCGAACAGCCAAATAAGGCAGGGGTCCCCCGTTCGATCCGGGGTCGGGTGCTGGCCCGTTGTTTGGCGTTTTTTTTCCTTCGTGGAAATTTTTGGCCTTTGCAATGTCCGGTGTAATACGAGTCACTACCCTACCACGTTCGACCTCAAAAATTAATATCGATCCGATTCTCGACCAAGACTCCCACCATCCGCTCCTTAATTTAATTCGCATGGATTCAACCATAGGTTGGGACTTTCGTTCCCATAAATTCAACACCTGAACAGGGTACTCAACCACCCGATTGCACACGGTGTGCACCTGCCGACTCTTACTGTAGTTATGTGAATCCTGTCATATAATGCAGGTGGTCGCCTGTTCGACTCGGGGGTCGGGTGATAGTACTGCATGTTGTTGTTTTTGTTTTCCCCTCCCTTTTTTTTCTAGCGACGCTCTGCTCTCCATTTCCACGGAATTCTTATGGAGCTTGGCTCAAAGTGAAGGGTTCAACCTTGGCTCAACCCTTTTGACAAAAAATTGAGATGAATCGTTGATATCAACACCAAATACGCCTTCACTTTCGTTCCTATTATTCAACACTTGAACGGGGTACTCAACTACCTGATAGGTTAAATGACTGATGTCCTCCCCAATTACAGCTCTTTGCGGTACAACAGGCGCGGTCCGTTTTTTTCTATTTTGGCAAGTTTTCACGAGAACACCTGCCCTGAGCTCAATTCTCAACTGTTTCCCCTCAAAATAGGCTCATTCGATTCGCATTGAAAATCCACAGCGAATGGAATACCGGTATTTTTGATCTTTTTATGTAATAGAATTTCTTCCGGAAAAACTTGGTTTTGAGTAGGACGCCTGTAGCACTCGGAATACTGCCCCGATTGGCCTAATCTTTGGATATGCTATACATATGATGTGACTCTAGCCAATGTGGGTGTTTACGGAGCTTAATTTACTCAAACTTCTAAGGAAAGCTCCACTTATGGTAGTGTCTGGATATCTACTTCGCTAAAGTGTGCACTAGATCACAATCACTCGGCATGTAATATAAATAAACACGCCGTTGTCTAGGGCCGCATCAGATGTATAACATATCCAAAAACTAGGCCAATCGGGGCAGTATTCCGAGTGTTATAGGTGTCCTACTCAAAACCAAGTGTTTCCGGGAGAAATTCTATTATGTAAAAAGATCAAAAATACCGGTATTCCATTCGCTGTGGATTTTCAATGCGAATTGAATGAGCCTATTTTGAGGGGAAACAGTTGAGAATTGAGTTCAGGGCAGCTGTTCTCGTGAAAACTTGCCAAAACAGAAAAAAACGGACCGCGCCTGTTGTACTGCAAAGAGCTGTAAGCAGGAAGCCCCGTTCGACTCGGGGGTCGGGTCATGTGCCATGTTCCATCAGGAGGCTTTTTTGTCTCTCATGCTTCCTTTTCCTCGTCGCCAGTTCTTTCAGGATACTCAAAATTATCAAACTGAGGCATTCGATGAGTCTGAGTCGAGAAATTAAATTATCCAGCCCACTTGCAGTGCAAGCTGTCCTCTCCTTCTGTTGAGTATAAATTCAACCTCTAACAAAGGTACCAACCCCTCGATAGCACACGGTGTGCGCCTGCGCAGGTGAATCTTGTCCGGTTGATAAGCCAGGAGTCCCCCGTTCGACCCGGGGTCGGGTGATGCATCGACAACTCGAGTCTTTTTATTGTTTGTTCCTCCATGTTTTCCGTCTGCCTCTTGTCTCCTCTCACTCTCTCTCAGATAATTGGCACCAAGACTTGTAGTGACAATTAAATGTACGCACCTATTACTGCATACCACGTTGCATTTTGACCAGTATTTACTGGCCAGTAAGCAGGAGCCACAATGCAATGTAGCTGTCAAGATGTGTGTTCTGCCATCACGCCCCAAATAAGTCCAGTGTCGGCGTTCCCCGGCTTATTAATATGGCAATAATATCCGCTTCTGGCAAGCCGCTGATGGCCAGCCATTCCGTTTGATCGCCACACCTATTCGCCTGATGGCCAGCTTAAAAATCGTGATGGCGGCTCGTTTGGGGTTCCTACAGCATCATACAACCTAATTCGGACCACTACAGCACTTCAACATGCTTGCATTCCCACACCCATCATATTTTCTTGCGCAAGTCCTGAGCATCGCGACAATACGATCAAAACACTTGACAGCGGCTCCCAAGTGACTATCTATTCGTCATCCTCGTCGTCCTCAAGCTCCTCCTCCCCCTCTCCGTCGACGTTCTCGTCTCCATCCACATCTCCATCATCCCCCTCATCGGGATCAATCTCCACCACCACTTCCCCGCCCTGCCCCCGTACTCCCGCCAAGTAATCCTTCGCTCTCCCACGCAACCCTGCCCATCTCGCTGTCAGCTGTCGGCACGTCGTTTCTTCGCGATCCACGTGTTCCAGCGCATACGCACGTAGGCCCTCGGCCAATTCTGGGGACACAGCAGTTCTGGCGCTAGCCCGTCTTTCCCACTCCGCCGCCATCCATGCTCCGTATTCGATCGTGCGGTGCATCTCTTCATCCACGATGACGATATCTTCATGCCAGCGAGACGTCTTCGCGTAGGCCTTGCACCATTCCACGCGTAACGCTGGTTATTGTCAGTATTGCCTTTTTCGGA